ATTAGACTTTTGAATAATGTTTGTAGTGATGAATTTCATGACCTTGAATGGTGTATGCCTTTGAAATTTGAATGAAATTGATGAATCTTGAGACCATAACTTGCAAACTTTGCATTTGTACTTGTACCAAGAATTCCAAGAAGTCCTTATGACACTTTGATCCATTTGATTAACTTGAACACTTTAATCTTAAATTCTCAATGAAACCATAACTTAAATCTTAAATCCAAATCAACTTGCACTAGAACCAACAAGTAATTGAGAACACTATACCTTGATCACATTGAATCCATGACATTTGTCTCTTGTACTATGCCTCACACCTTGTAATTAAAGTAATTCCTTGAGGAATCCTTTGATGAAAATAATATTTGAACTATGAAAAGAAGTATGACTAGGATAACCTTGACATGAAACCCTAATCATAACTTTGAGATTCACATTGTTGAAGAAATAACTTTAGATAAACCAAAACTCTAACTTAGAGAAATCTCAGTTGAAGCATTGATGAAACCCTAAGCACAACTAGTGAAAACTATAATGCGCTTGGTATTTGAAGTATCTTGATGAAGATGACTTGTAGCTTGGTGACTCTTGACAAGAAAGATGTTCATGATGATTATGAATCCAAACCCTAGTTACACAACATGAATGATGAAGGAACCAATTGAATCAAGCTTGAGTGAAGTAGAAACCTCAATCCATAGAAAAACCCTAGCTTGCAAAATCCTTCGGTCTCATGCCTTAGGAGCTCATGAAGATGAATGATTATAGTGGCATGACCTAATAAAAATTTATATGAATGTGAAGCATAAGTCAATTAAGGTTAAGAAAAGTGAAGGTCTCATGCCTTAGGAGCTCATGAAGATGAATGATTATAGTGGCATGACCTAATAAAAATTTATATGAATGTGAAGCATAAGTCAATAAAGGTTAAGAAAAGTGAGGCCAAATTTTGAGGTATAACTACTGGTGCTGTAAAGGGAGACTTTAATCTGATACAAGCTGGAATTAAAGCTGGAAATAATGCCAACAATTTTTAATTAAAATAACAACAACAATAACAAATAGCTCCAAAGTGCGGAAAATAATAAAGCAGAGTTGTATAAACACTCTAATGTTGAATGTTTATGCTTTGAAATCATTAGTTCTATGGCTATTACAAGCCAGGTTATCCTCAAATTGCAAACTAATGGCCTATATATATATATATATATATATATATATATATATATATATATATATATATATATATATATATATATGGAAACTCGTAGGAAAATTGCTGAAACGTGCTAGTTTAGGGGAGAAAAAGTTAGAAGTGGAAAAAACCAAGTGCAGATATTGGGGCAAAAAATATGGATGAGGACGTAACAAAGAGGGTCAGCAGGGATGACAGTCTGCCCGTCGTGACCCTTTCAATGAGGGTGCAAGATTGTGGGCACTAACGAGTGTCAACCTAGCTGACGGCCTACCCGTCATGGTACTTTGACTAAATTTCCTTGTTCCTTTGATTCTTTGGCTGACAGTCCTTGCCTTGGGTGCATGACACCCGTCATGACTGGGTTACACCCATCATGATAGTCTGTCTTGTGCCATTTTACAATGTTTTCATTGTTTTTGACTATTTTCACTTGCATTTGTCATTGTTTAATTTTTTTCTGAAACACAACATAAAATACCAGCATAACACTATAAAAATCTATAAAATTGTCACTAAAACATGTGGAAAACGAGTGAAATAAGGATGCATTTTACATGTCATAATAAATATACAAAGATTGTTCCAGAAGATTATACATGGCATCAGAAGAAACAATTATACAAAGAGGCTAATAACTATTTAGGGTACGAGGCTTATCTGCTTAAAATTAATGATGACGGGTTAATACAAATGTGTGTTACAAGTAAGGAAGCTAGGAACGTTATGTGGCACTGTCATAGCTTAGCTTATGGAGGCCACCATAGTGGAGAAATAACAACACTGAAAATGCTTCAAAGTGTATTCTGGTGGTCAACTCTATTCAAAGATTGTAAGTTGTACGTTCAGGAATGTTTTGAATGCCAGAAAACATGTAACATTTTAAAACGAGACGAGATGTCTCTTAATGGTATGATAGAGGTATAATCATTTGATTGTTGGGGAATTCACTTTATGGGTCCTTTTCAATCTTCTAACTCTCATGTATACATTTTGATTTGTGTAGATTATGTAACCAAATGGATTGAAGTCATAGCTTGTGCTGCTAATGATACACAAACTGTCTCTAATTTTTTGAAAAAGAATGTTTTTGCTAAGTTCTAAGTCCCTAGCTAGAGTCTTGATCAGTGATATGGGTGCACTTCTACAATAAATATTTAAAAGGTGTGTTGGAATAGTATAATGTGAAATATAAAATATGCACACCTTATCATCCTTAAATATGTGAACAAATAGAAGTGTCAAATAAGCAGTTGAAACAAAGTTTGGAAAAGGCGGTTGCTACATCCACGGAAATTTGGTCCAAGAAATTAGATGACGTTCTCTAGGCGTATAGGATAACATTTTAGACTTATTTAGGATTGTCCCCATATCAATTGGTCTATGGCAAGGTTTGTCACTTACTGGTCAAACTGTAACATAAAGCATATTAGGCAATTAAGTTTTTAAACTTCGATGAAAAAGTAGCTAAAAGAAAGAGGTTGTTAAAGTTGGATGACCTAGAAGAGATAAGACTCAAAGCTTGTGAAAATGTTGTGATCTATATGGAGAGAACCAAAAGATATCATGACAAGAACCTGGGGAGAATATAATTTCAAATAGTATAAAAGGTTTTTGCTATACAAGTCTTGATTGAGGTTGTTTCCAAGTAAGTTAAAGTCTAAATGGTCTGGTCCTTTTATCATTCATAAAGTGTTTGTGAATGATGCTGTAGAAATACAATATATGGAGATTCTCACACTTTTACACTGAACATACAAAGGTTGAAAATATATTCAGGAGGTGAGATACGAGCTGAGAAGGTGTCTCTAATACTCGCAGAATCTTAAATTACAAAGTCAGACTTTAAAGAAGCGTTTAAAAAGAGGCAACCCATCTGGAAAAAAATTATTCCATTTGCAATTTAAATTTCCTGTTATATTATGTTTAATCATATTTATTTTTAGTATGTTATTAAATAAGTGGCGTGGAAAAGGTAGGAAAAAAAAGAAAGAAAAAATAAGAGAATGGGAAGAAATGAAGCAAAGAGAAGGATTTTTAGCCACTGGAATCTTCACATCCCCGATGGTTCATCATGGGCCCGTTATAGCAGCATCGTGATTGTAATTGATCTCTTTGTGGTCACGATAGAGACATTACATAGAGTTGTTGGAGGTTTTTGACCATTAGACATAGTTGCTGGTATCACAATCACTTTACCAATCATTGTGGTCGTGATAGCTCGACATCAATGTCTACAAAAAAGGGAAATTGAGGAAACCTTTTCGTACAACAACCATTTGCAATCATCTTTTCTGTCTTTAACTATCTCGACTAACTTTCTGCTCAGATTTTCTTTGCATTATACCAGTTGCTCTTGTGTTTCAGTTGAAATGGCACCTAAAAGAATATATCTTTCTCGTGAAATAACATCATCTGCACCACCCGCTCAAGAAGCGCCAATTTTCCAAATTGATAGTTTTAGGTTCCAAGCGTGACACAGTGCACCACAACAACGCAACCACGTAACTCTTTCAGTATCAACATTTGACTGACACCATCTACTAATCTCTTGGAACCATTGTTTTTACGACTCTTTTCCATAAATAAACTAGGCCTTCAATTTCATCATTTGCCCTTTCCTCTAGAAGGCGAAGATTTGAACCCAATGGAGTTGCTTGGATAGAAAATGAATCCTCTATATTAAAGATTTCCTGGATGTTGCAAGTCATTCATGGGTTCTCTACTACTCTAACCTATGCTTTCTTGAATTCTTGTACATTTGCTTTGCCCAACACTCGTCTGGGATTGAAGGATTGGAGTGAAAAGGAAAGAAGTGAGACTTGCTCCTAGTGTCACGTGCTTCCTCCTATTCTCCTTGTCCCATGTCTTGAAGGTCTTAGTGTGTTTTCCTCTACGCTTTTGAACTTATGCTAGTCTTCATTTAATAAATTTTTTGAAAATGTAATTATTTGAATTTTTTTTAAAAAAAAGTGATTATTTAAAAAAAATTCAAATATTTATATCTAACTAAATTCAAATATTTATATCTAACTAAATTCAAACTACCGGAATGTTCACCATAATTTTTTACTTAAAAAAAAATAAAATAATAAAAGTTGGTGTGGTTATATTAACATGCCACACTTAATAATAAAATGAAAAGTTTTGAACTTCACATATTTTACTATAAAATAAATGACACCTCTAGATTTTTTCTAGACATTACACAAATAATTTCTAATTAACTTCAAATTGACCAAAATACATTTAATATCTTTTCAAATCTAATAATTTTAATTTCTTTTCAAATCTTCAATTACAATGGTTAGTTGAGTTAGTTAAAATTTGCTATTAAGTAGTTAGTAAAGTTAGTTAAAATTTGTTATTAAGTAGTTAGTTAAGTTAGTTAAATTTGTTATAAAATAGTTAGTTAAGTTAGTTGAAAATTGTTACTAAGTAGTCAGTTAAATTAGTTAAAATTTGTTATCAAGTTGTTAGTTAGTTAGGTTTGTTAAAATTTGTTAGTTTGTTAGTTCCTTACAAACTCTTTAATAACCCCCACAAACTCAGTAAAATACTTCTTAAAATTAAGTATGGATTATAAACCTAAACTAAAATCAAACAGAAAGAAAAAAAATACAAGATTCAATAAAAATAACATTTCAATAGTAACTAACTAAACTATAATGTATGTGCCCAAAGTCTAAAAATTCATTGCATTACACAGAAAACTAGGTAAACTAAAATAACCCCCGCAATCTCAGTAAAATACTATCTACTAACCCCCACAAACTCAGTAAAAATACAATCACCATCTTCATGGTGTCTTCACGTATGTAACAGAAGTATCTTTACGGCCCAGTTCTCCTTTAATGATGTGTTCACCAGGAGAAGGAGAATCAGTCTTCACTCTTTTCTTTCTATCTTCATCTCTCTTGCATAATTCTTCTTCTGTAATGCATGTTTTTCTCCTTCTAATTATGTTCGATACCGAAGCCCTTTCTTTGAGAATTGATTCTATTTGCATGTAATCATCAGGGCCAACCGGTAAAGACCAGTGAGAAGCCGCTCCGTTTTTTTGTGCATTGATATTTCTTAACTCGTGATCTTTGGCAGCAGTATTACACAGTACTACGCAAAAGAGAATAACAGTTATTATAACCTAAACAATACAAAGACTATATTAATAGTTAAAGAACAAGAATGAATACCTACCAACAACAGGTAGATTTGCTTCTTTGGTGACAGACTTTACAAACTCATATCTATCAATTTCTGCCATGAATCCATCCATTATAATAAACTGAAATTCCAAGAACTCCATATGATTTGATGGAATATAGGAAAAAAAGCTTACTGAAAGATTAAAACAAAACATAAGTATAGAACATGTTGACAAAGATAAAATTGATATAGGAAAAAAGATCACCTTCATGATTGAATTCTTTGGCCAAATTCTCAATATCCGTCATAACTTTTGGATCAGTACTGAATACTGCCACATGAATCTCAGATTTCTTGATTTCATTGATAGCTTCCAT